ATTGAACCTCGCTGCAGGGAATAATCATCGATAATAGCCCAAAGCAGAGAATTGAAATCATCATTTATAAAGTCCACGGATTCAGCAGTGCAAATGAAATTTTTATTCGCAAGAACTCATTCAAGAAATTCGCCCATGAATTTGTAATAACACGCCGGCAAAAGGCTTCGCTCACAATCTGACGCGCTGAAAATGGCGACGTAATGGAAAATAAAACGGGGATCGTACACAAGTTTTGAGAATCTTCAGAATAAATAAACGGGGAATTTTCATGTGGAATGCCGAGAAAACTTCCGGTAACACCATCTCTACTTTCAAGAACATTTCAAGGCTGCAAAGGATAATTTTGTCTCCATTTTTTCGTCAGAATCTAGCTGCTCTTGGATGACCTGGACGCATAAAAAACTTTTGTTTCCAAACCGATTGGTACACTTTTTCGAGTATAATTTTTTTTATTCGAACGAGTATGAATTGAAGAATAATAGTGCCAGATAAAATCTCAACCCTCCTCAAATGAGGGTAAAAGTTCTCATTGTTGTCCGAGTGCCGGAGTTTATAAAAACTTACGCACTGCCCCTCGTGCAAGAAAGGGAGAAATCTCCAGAAATTGCTCCATTCTCTCGCGAAAAGCAGAGGCTCACATAAAACAAAAAATAAAAATAAAAAAGACAAATTCGCAGTTACTTCCCTTCACCTTGAAATCAGCAGTAAACGGATAAGGAGAAGGTGAGGACTGAAGGAAGGTAATCTAGGATATTTGCTGCACGAGTCAGAGCAGACAAAAGCGGCACCCAGAGCAGCAGAACGGACGTCGTTATTTTTATATTATTTTTTTGCCTCCCCGTGGTTGCACTGCGTGGTGCAGAGCAAGCGAAACTTCGTGGGCGCCTCAGCTTTGCAGCGGGAGTCATTTTCGACCGATTTCCCCAGCCTGACCCGAAATGACGTTATGCAACTTCCCGGCGCATCCGAAGCGTGTGCGAGAGTAGCACGCCTACGGTGTGCGTGCGCGTGCGTGTGTGTGTGTGTGTGTGTGCCTAAATTGCGACCGAGACCGTGTATTTTTTTTTTAATATAGTATACTTGTAATACAGTATTTTTATTTTTATTTTTTGCGCGCGCGAGCAGCACGTATGCTCCCCTGTATGGGACGGCACAGCTCCAAATCCGCGAACGGGAGTTCTGCGAACATTTTCGTGTTCAAGCGAATTTACTTTGTGCGACGATGCAATAAATATGCAATATAAATCGACGCAGACTGTCACTGGAGGTATCGACCAAAGATATTAAAAATAATGAAAGAACTCGATAAACACAAAAATAATAATAATTTGGCCATTTGAAATTTCGACGACTTGAAAATCAACCCTAGAATCGTGCATTAAAAATGTGCATGCAGCAAGAGACCAATAAAAAGAAAGAAGAAAAAAGAATCGGAGATGATCGATTGAAGCAGAAATCAGGAGTGACGAGAAAATGGTCGATAAATTCATTGACCGTGATTGTGGCATTTCTTGATTGGTCGAAGAATTTTAATCAAATGAAAGTTTTGCGGTGTTCAACATCCATTGACGAACCACAATAAATACTTCAAAATGTTTTATGAGCTGCTCTAGGCTGAAGTTTTGATGAATCCCGTTTGCAGAGAATCCAGTTTTTTCGTTCGAACTTGAATATCCGAGCTCTATGCTCAGAGAGAAGAGTTCAGTTTTTCGAATTTTGGCTAATATTTTTCGCTTTTTTCATTTTCAATGATACTTCTCTGAAAAGCATACGGTATTTTCGGGAATTTCCACACACAAAATGGAGATTTTCGTTCCTTTGTAAAAACGAAGTTCGGCTGAATCCCAGTACTGTGCAATAAATACAGTACTTGAAACATCAGTTCTTTTAGAAAATAACATTTCACGCAATCAATTTTTTTCTCGCGAATTAATACTTGAGCGAAAATCGGCGTTAACTTGCACCAGAAGTTTATCCGTATACAGTTCAAAATTTCACGAAGGTGCGGAGATTGATGAAAGAACTACAGTGTATGCAATATTCCAGTATTATTAAGATGGAATAAATTGGGAAGATACAGTACGTATTTCAAAATATTCTTTAGAACGATTTATGCAATCCAACTGATATTTCTAGAAGGTCTAAAATATTTTCCCGCAACCGACCAACGCACCTTTAATTTTACGTACTATTTTTAAATCGAAAATAACATCTCCTGAACTTGTTCACAGCTTTTTAGCATTTTGCAGTTTCATTTTACCCCAAAATTTAAACTTCCTCCTTTCGAAAAAAATAAACCAAATCATCGGAAATTTTCCGAGAAATCAAAGTAATAAAAAATTGTGAAAAACGATCTTATAAAAATGCAAGACTATATTTCTTGCAAAAACGTAGTTTTTTCGGAGGGTCTGAAATGTTGCCATCGAAACCTACTCGACAAAATTCAAGCTTATCTATCTGCAACCCGCCAGGCAAAAGTTCGCCGAATTGCGTCATCGTCTTTAAAAACAAGCCTTTCTTATAAATCCCGAAAAAATAAAGTGGTACCTCCTGGCGGAAATTCAAGTTCACCCAAGATCAGGATGAGCGAAGCAACGGGAAGAGCCGCCGCCGAGGGAAACAATCGTGCCATTGCTGTTGCGACAACGGCGCCGATCACGACCGCCGCAGTGCAACGATTTCATCCATCCATCCATCCATCCATTCCCGCAATGTCGTGAGGATATTCGTCACAAAGCGTAGACGGATGAAAGCGGGAAGGAGAAAGAAGGAAGGAAAGAAAGAAAAAAATGCGAAGAGAGAAAGAAAGAGGCGTATCAAGTTCATCCCCATGGGAAACCAAGTTCACCGTATTTCGACACACCACGCCCCGAGTGTCGAGACCTGTGCACGGATGGGAGGCTCCGATTCTCGACCGACCTGTCAGCGAATTTCGAAACTGCGTCCGGTATTTCGCCTATTTTTTTTCTCATTTTGTTTTCTCTCTCGCGTGTGCCACTATAATGCCCTTCCTCCTCCTTTCGTGCTTCTTCATTTTCCACCCCTTGCTATAGGTACTGTACTTCCTTTAATTGCTGCGCGCGATTCTCTTCTCCATCTTCTCACCCCCATTGTCCCGGAATTAAGAAGACCTTGTTCCGTACTTTACCGCACTCGTAACGACGCGCTGGATTACGCGCACGCACGGGGCACCGAAAATTTATGCTCCGATTATATGCCACCTGACCGCATTGCGTCATACGATTATTATTTCTTTTCCTTCAATCGAGTACCTGTGACAATTGAAGCATACCCTTCGGCACTCGTAAGGGCACCATTTCTTAGATGTTCCGCTTAAAACGGCATAATGAATCTCCCATTTTTAGTCGCGATCCGGAAAAAAAAGGCGGGGGAAGGAAATAAGCGTTGAGAGCAAGTTGATGTGCTCATCCGGATTTCTCAATCGTTTCGTTCATCGATTTACAGAAGAGCAGAAATTGTGTCGCAATTCCACGAACGGATCTCTTTCGTAAATTAAGGCCAAGTTGGTTGCTACAGATGCTTCGTTTCGGGGATAAAGCGAACCGCAAAACCCCTTTCGTGAGTTGCCACGCGACATTTCAACATACAATATGCAGAAATGAGTGCAACTAGAGATGCTGATTAGAATTTTTTTCGTTTCGAAAAAGCAAGCTTTTTCAAAGCATGGAAATTTCTACAGTGCGAGCGTGAACATTTCAAAATATTGTAGTGCATGGTTATTTGCTCGGACTAGGATAACGAACGATAATTTTTCCTGGGCTGTGTCTCCCGTGACTCGCGTTTAAAGTAACTTTCAGGTATCTTAAGTTAAGAAAGTTATTCGAGATCATGGTCAGATTTTCTCTAAAGGAATAGTTCGAAAGCGCGAATGATCGAAAGCGGAAAATATGTCACAATCATCTACATCATTATCAGAAAATAAAATTAGTCATGGAATAAGCTGAAGGAATATTTTCGGATATTGTAACGCCCATAATACTAAGCGTTCTTACATGAGCCGAAAATAAGCCTTTCTTCTTGGTGCACGCCAAATTTTAAAAATGAATTTCCTTCAGATCGCCAATTTCTCTCAAAATGTTCAGACTCACTCTGTTTTTCTTGCTGTCAATTTGAGGCTCTTTGAACCTTTCAGGTCAAAAAGACCTAGTTTTCCCACTCGAAACCTAACATTTAAAGAATTTTATCGTTTTTTCGCCTAAAAAAATCGGATAAACTATGGATTAAATTTGGAAAAGTTTCAGATCTGTCTTACACTAAGGGAAATGCAGAATTGTACGAAATCGGGAGTTAAAATGAATTTTACTCTTAAATCGCGGAGAGAAAACTGTACACTTTCTAGAGACCCTTTTTAAAATTTTCCAAAGAAAGTAAATGATGCATCCAGTATTCTCAGAAAAAGAGTCACACGTAAATTATGGTTCGAAAATTGTTAATTATTTCTTCAGTTTTCCGCGGTTGAGCGAATTCACGGTTAATCAAAGAAGAGCTAATACCGGGTTTGCCGGCGTACTGTAGGTTAATTCTGTAGTTTCGAAAGATTTCTCTTCTGGGAACGAGACTACAAACGATACGCAATTTTTAAATTACTTTACACTCCTAAAACGGGCAACTTCATGCTTGCCCCATTTATGTTTTCGGATTCGGGATGCAGATCGTGACTCGTTCGTAGATCCATATAATTTCTCAAGCAAAAAAAAAAAATCCGTTTATTTTCCTCCATGACATCGGAAACGTGGCAAGAAAACACGAGGGAAAATTTCGTCGATTGCAAATTTGAGAGCGAAGAAGGGGGGAAAATAAATAAAATTGACGCCGAAGGGCACCGTGTCGCCCGCGATTCGCCTTGAAACGTAACGGGGCCAGCAGAAGTTTGCACAGCAACGCGAACCCTTTGCACAAGCGAAAACCGGAACAAGGCGAATGCACAGGAGCAACACGGAATTGGGGGGGATAAAAAGGGGGGAAGATTTGCAAGAATGGATACGCGGGAAAAACTGGGGGCACATGAGGGGGAAAAGAAGAAAAATAGCGGTAAGTTTTTATTATTTCTTTCCTTCTTTTTCGCTTTCCGTCTTTTGATTTTTTTTTCTTTCGTTGTTGGTCTTCACGCGTCAATCGCTGCTTCCTTCCGTTACGCCCGCGCTCATTGTTCCGTCGGCCCTTACAACCTCTCATTCCGTTCCCATTTTTCGCTTTCGCAAGTCCACCGACACAGACAAGAAACGAGCAATGACAAATGTGGCATCGCGCCACTGGTCACCAAAAAAAAAAAAAACCAGCACTTGCTGATTCACGGAAATGAGTCGTCAATTTTCTTTGATTTTGTCCCCAGCAACTTCTAAACTCTGAAGAAATTACGGAAGCCCATTTAGAACCTGACGAAAGAAAAACCTCGTCATATTGTTGGAATCTCTTAAATCATACTCAAGGGAACCCACTATACGAGTATGTACAGAAAAAATCGCAGTGAAGCTGCTTCTGCAAAAATGATAAGGCCGCGGACGTTTACAAATAAATCCGTTTTCATACAGCCGTAGAAAATCGCAGGGGACAATATCTCTATCACAGAGATCAACTTTTCAAGAAGTAAACTCCATCGAAGCTATAAAAAATACAAATCTTTCCCCGAAAATGGGATACATATATCATTTCGATGTCAACGTCCAATTTTTCTCATTTTCTTCAATCATCAAGCTTGTGTACGTCATCCCATCATTCATCACGCACAAAGAAAGATTACGTGAGCTATGCTAAATTAGGGTTGTGATATGTTTGACCAAGTTCAAAACTTGGGCAACCATGAATCCACAAAGATGATGCTCGACGTAGACGAGAAAAAGTGCTGATGAAATTCAGCGGTCAGGAACTTTTATGACTGACGCTTTGATTTCATTTTTTCCGTTACAAGGAGGTGCACATTGGAAAATGAAGTCTCGCAAGAGCTAATACTGTACTGAAAGAATAAATATCAAATGAGCCATCAACGAATCTTATTACAAAAAATGTTATCAAATATTTTAACTACAGTATTTGGACTTGGGTTATATTTTAATGAATTGGATTAGATTCCATAAGCGAAATTGGACTAGGTCAGATACGCGAACTCCGTCGTTTATGCATGCGCTTTTTTGTTGTTGCTATTTTCAGATCTGCTCTTCTGCTTCAGAAGCGTTTTTGAAAAAAAAAAATCTCTAAAAAGAAGAACTTGATGTATACTGTATGCATAATGTATATACAGTATATTTGCAGTATGTATTTAATTCAAATATTCTAACCGAGATTTCTAGCGGTAGTCCCCTCGCACTCCCCCGCCTGGCAACGGGGAAAAGCGGCGCCCCGGAGCTCCGTGGCGTCTCCCGCAGCTGGGACGCCTGACCGCGTGGACAGCCATGAACCGGTGCTGGCGATTGCAAAATCCCTCTTCCACCGCGGCCAACGCCAGTCGTGTGCGAACGGTGCAACGAAATTCAAGGAAGGAAACGCGAGTGGGGCACGCCTCGACGTGCTCGTGCCATGGCGATAGATAGATACAGGACAGTACATAGATGGAGGAAGCATGAATGGATGGATGGATGCATACATGCATGCCCATAAGGGTGGCGCTTGTATATACACACATAACAGACATTGCGGCGGCGGTAGTGGCGTCGCAGTTGCAGCGTTCTCTCTGCAACTTGTTGCGAGAATTTCGACGATGTTGGCAGTTGCGCACACGCGTTCAGGATCAAGTTCGTGCAACAAGCAATGCATTCTCGTGAAAAGGAAGAACCGAATGCTGCAAGATTTTTTTTTTTTTTTGACGGGCATTTCCTGCACGGAGCATTGCGTAAATCTTTCCCCAACTCGTCGAAATTTATTTCATTTCGAAAATGGAATGCCGAAGCATTTAACGGTTACTATAACGACTAGAAGATGAATGCTACTGCATCGACTTGAAAAATAGTCGATTAAACAATTTTATCCTCCGGAAATTGCATACTCGTGCTACAGTACTGATGTACGTCTTGAAGAACACGCTGAATGCTTTATGGAGATTTTCAACGCAATAGGGCGATTAATATTTGATCCGAATTCAGGTACCGTATTAGTTTTATACATGCCTTTACAGAAAACAGCTCAACTTGAAGTCTTCGTAATGAAATTTTTATTTCCGAAATATTTTTTTCAACGCCTCACAAGCGTCCAAGTGTTCATCTTATTTTTCCGAACGACAAACACGAATATGAAAAAGAATTTTCCAATATTCTTACCTGCATAAGAATATCTATTCCCGAAAGTGATGGACGGATCAGTTCTGAATTTAAAGCACCAATTCTATAAAATACGGTACCTCAGAAAAACAAGATCGAAGCCAACGATTTTCCAGGTGAACGAAAGTTGATATGAAAGGCGAATAAAGCGAAAAGCTCAGAAGTTCATTTCAGGATGCCATTCTCAGTGTTCAGAAATTTTCTTTTTTTAGCACGCGAAAAGAAAATCGAGTCGAGTGATAGTCGAAAAAGATGAAATGAGTCAAGATCCGCTTGAATTTATCGCATTAAATCCACGTCTGCTTTTGATTTACGTTTTTATTAAAGCCTCGCTTCGATGGTAACGAATCAAGTAATTCTTTCGCTCTTGAAAAATGGCGCGAAATCTGCTCCGTTTTTCATAACTTGATTATAAATAATACACCGAATGCTCATTAAATGAATAATTGCTTCCTTCTTTCCCTAAAAAAAAAAAATGAATTATAGACCGAATGATTTTCGACTCAATTCGCTGGAGAAACGAATGCCTGCCGAACGCGACCCGAGCAACGGGCGAAAATCGAAGGACACGGGAGAATTACGCAAAACGTTAAATGGCGTTGATTTCGTTTGACAAGAAACAGAGGAAATCGAAACGACAGTATATAGCGTGAGAGAAAAATAGTGAAACAAAACGCGAATGAATTATTCGATTGAGGTTTCGTGGGACGAGAAAACCAATGAACAACGCCATCACTATTATCACGATCGTTATAATTATTTTGTTCGTGCTGAGGAAATGCATCAGACGTTTTAAAAACAATTTCCGCGTAAATGAACCATGAGGCACGTTTCATCTCGCGGCTCTTCAATATTAGTATGGACGGACTCCAGCCTAAAATTTAATTTTCTGTGCGCATAAACTTTATTACTCGTCTGAGCAACGAAATGCTCCGTATAATGAATCAATTTTGGTCCTATGATGAGCAACGTCTTTATTTCTATGAAAATTTTCAAGAATTTGAAACTACTGTATTTTGAACACAGAAAAACTCAACAAGCAACAGTTCAACCTGCCGTTTTCTTCAAAGTTCTGAAACCATCAAGATTTCGGAGCGAATTACTTTCCAGGAAATGTTCACTTCAATCTTTAAAAAAACAAACAAACAAAACTGTGGAACCGGCTGTGAACTACGTCATAGAGCTATCCTTGAAATTAGAAAACCGGTATTTTTAGAATGTTTTTCGGTTGAGAATTCGATAGGCATACATAAATTGGAATTGCAGCTTGACCCTCACGCACATTGTTATTCACGAATGTCACAGAAGCTGAAATGAGTGAGTGCGGCTGTGAGCTAACCGAACTTTTGGCCTTGCAAGCACAGCAGAAAAGGAAAAAATAAATAAAATAAAAATATAATGTACTCGGCAACCTGGTACTAGGTCTACTGACCAACGTCATGCATGAACTCGACGTCCGGAAACTAGGGCACACAACATAACCCGTGTTTTGCTCGTTTTTATTTTCTATTTTTGCTTCGTCTATTTCATTTATTAATTTATTTTATTTTACGACTCGTGAAACCGAGAGTGAGTATCCCGGCCGTGATTTTTCGCTGCTGCGCGTTGTTGTCACGACTTGCGCATCCTGAATCAATCGCATCTCACCCGTGACCAAAAATCTTTCTTTCCCCTTCAGTAAAAAAGAAAACAAAACAAAAATTTGGAAAAACGTTGCTAAACTTTTTCTCTTCGTAAAATAACTTTTTTTTTAAAGTGTCCTGTCGGACGCACGATCAGAAAAACGGCGTTTCGTTTCTGTTAAAAGAGCGTCGGGAAGAAACCGCTGCTTGATAGCAGAACCTGTTCTATACGGATATTTTCGCTTGAATACTACTGAGGAAGTTTTCACAATGCAAATAAGGAACTGTTTCTCCCGCTGTAATGGAAAACTTCGATGATAAAATGTTTGCATAAAATGTTCACTGATTTTTTTATGCGATCGGAGCTCAAAAATAACTGACGCTAGTATTTTCGGAGATCCCTCCTCTTGAGTTGTAGAAGAGTGTGCAGTACTGTACTTGCATTCTTCCAGAAACTGAACTATTCGAAATGAACCAATTTTTTTTTAGTAAATATTCCGATGCATCGAATGTCAATCACAATCCATTCCTTCTCCCCGATTCACATTTGACTAAACGATCGTACTGTATAACCAGCATCCATAAAAAATTGCCTGAAGCCGATATTTGCGAGGATGGCGGAATAATGAAAAGACGGAAGCGTGACTAATGATTCAAGAATCGCGCGAAGGAATGCATCGAGGAACAATTTAGTACATCCACGTAATAGCACGTAAAACGTTGAATCGTGGGAATGAGGAGTTCATCCGGCGTGAAAAATATGGAAAACGAAAAGCAATTTTCGGACGTTTTGCTCTTTCATGGCCGTCGCCCATAATGCAACGTACGTACTGAATTTTGAATTTGCCTTCACAAGAAATACCTACCTCCTCTGAATCCCCTTTTCCCGTAACCTTGGGATAGGGGAAAAAAACGTTACGGCATTTTCAAAATGTCTGAAAAGTCGCCATGGTATTTCTGTCTTTTCTGCATCGAACTTTTTCGAAAATGAAACACGTACAGTATTTCCGGGAATCTGTGGCTAAAAGGAGATCCGACAATGTGGAATGCGTCAAAAGGGCTCGTCTCAGAACAGGTCGAGATTGTTGGAGAAGAAATATGTAAAAACCGAAACACGATCAGAACACCGATTAAATTTCTGACAATGACGTGGTTCGGTTAGATTAATCGCCGTAAAATGCGTCGCGAAGAGACATATCTGCATTGAAACGTTGTAATAAAACGACTAAAATTGATCAGACATCTTTTCATCACGAACAGTTAGTACCTTTTCTGGTACTTCTCTTCGCTCGCATTGTTTTTCCATTGGGAATCAATCCTGCGGACGCACGCTGCTCTGGAATGCGCTATTTTGAGATTTGCTCTTCTTGGTACACAAATGCCGCGATGCGATAAATACAAATCAAAAATGTGAATGAAGCGTCGCTTTTAATTTACAATGCTTGATTTTCTCGTGGTGTTCAGAGTTACCATATTTTGCAATTTTAATATATTTTTTTAAACTTTCGTGGACGCACTGCGTCCTGTTTTGAAACGCGCTCTTTTGGGACACGCACAACTGCCCCTTTAAAATTATCAATAAGTCAATGTAGAAAAGATAAATGAACGAAGCATATTTTAATTAGAGTTTCATACTTTATTTTCCAGTCCTGTTTTGCTTTCGAGAAGTTTCTATTTTATTTCCCCTGGTATTTAATTTAGTTGAGGCAACTTTTTTTTTACACGTGTGAGTGTCCCGGTATCCGTTAATATACGCTACCCGATTGAATCGCCTGTTTCACGATGAAGCCGACGTTGCGTTCGGCGTGGGCATTTATGCGCCAATTCTTTCTTCCTTCCACCACCTCTGTCTCCCCAGGATCTTTTTTTTTTTTTTACTGTGTTTTTTTTTTGGTATGTGCCAAAGATTAGCGGGTTCCCTGCTGCGCGCGAGGCACAAATGAGACCTTGAGATGCCTCGCGGTAATTGCACGGCGCGTTCCTCATCGCCGCCCAAGCCCCGTTTGCCCAATTCCGGCCCGTTTTGACGCAATGCCCGGCGCGCCTGTTGTGATTCCTGTCTCTCATTGTCGTCGACGACGAGAATACACGACACTTTTTTTTTTTCTTTACTGTTAAAAATAAGCCTCGTCATTCAAAGATTTCCGTGGAAGAATCCCGTGGGAAGGAAACCTTGGACACATTTAGCATGGACTAGCCTTTTAGCTACAGTATTTTCTTCGACTGGTTCCGACGATTTATTCGTCCCCGTGATGACTACGATTCATTGACGAATATTTGTTGATTTAGTGCGAGAGGAAAACCCTTTGAGCATTTCACGTTTCCATGTTTATCTTGCCACATTCATTCGAAATTTACGATACAACGATTTATAGTCAATAAATTTCGATTATACACGAAATACTACGTACAGTATATTTTGACACAAAACGAATCCCGTTCTTTCCAAAGGATTGATGGTCACAAAAGGAAACCGTTTGCAAGCATGAATCATTCTGTGAAATTTCCAAGGAAAATATTGACATTCAAGCCACGGATTGAATATCATTTCAACTGAAAAACGCATACAAAATGTATGAACTAAGATTTAAAGTTTTGAGTAATATGCTTGGAAAAGAAAACGGATTGCTGATCTGCAGATTCTCATGCGCTGAGACAACTGCACATTACTGACAAAAGATTTCAGCAAAGATCGGAAGGAAGATGAATTTGAAAACGCTGGAAATTTCATCAGAGGAATATAAGAATACCGCCGTGCATTAAGAAAGTATCTTTCTTCATTTTTTAAGAAGCAAACATTATCAAAATGTTTGCAGCAAAATATACATTTCGAATCATATCCTGAATACCTGTGCATTCAATCTCAGCCGGGTTTGTGACTAGGTTACATGACGCAGCGGAAAAAAAAGAGCCGATAACTTTCTCTCACAAAGCTCATTTCAATGGAAAAAAATTCGCGTCTGTCCGGAAGTCGAGGGATGATGACAGCGTCTGTTCTGTCGTAGAATCGACACTTTGCTGAAGGTCGCCAGCCAACCAATGACACATAGAAGGCATCGACCTTGTTCAGAACTGAGAGAACTTCTGAACCCAATCCGCAACTGGACGGCTGGTTCTTTCCGATTCATTTACTGTATAGTGGTGCGGCTGTTTTCACGGCCATTACCGAGAGCGAGATAGCGTATAGTCGTGTGACGGAAACTAGTAAATATAATTTGGTAAGAAAAATATAGTGAATTCGAGGATGAAAAAGAGTGGTTTTTATTGTCAGGTAGATCCGACTTGGCGATGAGAGAGGATCGTGAGAGAAGATCCTTCTTTCATTGAAGCGACCATGAGTCAGTTGAACTCAAATGTTCAAACACTTCAATAATAAAAAATCAAATCTGCTGAAACTCGTAGAAATTTCTAAAAAAAAATACAGTAAATTGTCCCCTCATCATCATATGGTAGAATGTAGATGGCATTTTCAGATGAAAAGCGCAGCAGAATTTACGAATTACAGATGGAAGTTTTCAAATGAACATTACACATACAAGTGTTTTTTTTCATGAAATATTGATGTAACTATGAAATATTGAACTATCTATGAAAGATCGAAGTAATTTAGAATGCGCTGCAAATTATTACTTTTTGGAAGCCCTGGGGAAGAATTCTGGGAAGCATCGTCCGAAAAATTGACGGTGGGCTAGAAAGATAGAGACGTTCTTTCGATATAGCTTGCTATATACGGTTGTACTTCTTATTTATGTGATATGAAAACGCTTATTAAATTGATAGGGCTTATTTTCGAAAAGCCAAGGTAGATTTAAAAATTTTTTTTATTTTATTTTATTTTTTCCTGAAACAGCGCGAGTATCCGTTAGAAAATCCAGTTTGAAGTCTCAGTTGTCCAGTTTTCGTATACTGTACTCATTTATTCTCAAGCGCGGAGAACTTTCTCATATTTTCTTCGCATTGATTTTTATACGGGATCCATAAAAATTTTCATCGATTTTTGGTGTATTTCGAATCCTTTGAAAAATCCGTAAAACCACCTTTTGCGCTCATAACGGTTCTAACATGCTCGCTCGCTCCGATCGGGCCCCGCGGATATTTTGCATGGCAACCACGACGAAGTCATAAATCCAAGATGTCTGTTCTGAAAAGATTTCAAAAATGGTGCATCGAATCAACAACA